CATCTTGGGCAGGCCTGATGCCCGGCTGGTTTGTCCTGTTAGGTGGATGTAACGCTCTGCTAACGCAGTGGGCTCCATCATCTCCACGCGTGGGACCTGTGAGGTCGAAAGGGTCTCTCACAAGGCAGAGGTCCGTCTTGAGTGTGGCAGCCCCGTGCCTTGCGGGAAAGCAAAGCCTACTCACCTGAGGCAGTGCTTTAACATTCTCGGCTAAAAATGCACCTGGAAAAGGCTCTGCTGGGGAGGCTTGGCCTGAGGGAGGGGTTGGGGGGCCCTGCCCGCAGCGCAGGCCCTGCTGAGGGAGCTCAGCAGCTGCATAAACGCTCCTCTCTGCCGGTGTGGCTGGGGTGGGCAGCTTAAAACCCTTCACCGAGGTCTCCTGAGGACAGAGTAAATCCTGGCTCTGTTCGCTGCAAGGAAATGTCGTGCAAAGCGCGTGAAATGCGATAGTGCTGAACGGGGAAGATGCTGCGGAGGAACTGAAATCAAAATACTGCTTCTCTGCGTTCCTTGTGCTCGTGGCAAGCAAGTGATTTTAAATAATGATTTTTAAGTTTTCTCTGCAGTGTTAGAAATGAAATGTAGTGTTGTTTTCACATTCTAAGGGCACCAGGAGTGGGTTATGGCCCAAGAAACTGAGGGAGTGAATTGGGCTCCATCTGGGGATCCAAACATGGAGAAGGATTTATGGCCCAAGATCAGACCAAACAAAGCCACTTCTGTCTTGCTTCTCAGGGCAGGATGACACCAGTAGATTTGTTAATTGACAGCCAAGAGGGCAAGAAAGGTCAAAATTTTACCTTAAAAGGTAAAAAGTAAACTGCTAGAATGGAATGTGTGAACAGGGGCGGGAAACTTCCAGGATAATTTGAAGCGTGGGAGAGGCTGTGAACCCTGGAGTGCCCAGCCAGTGGGGAAGCAGGGGAGTGAACTTTGTGTCGGGAATAGGGAATATAAACTGTTATTCACCTTACTATGGGTGTGCCTACTTGTTTAGGTCACCCATTCTTGCAAGAACGTAAATAAACTGTGCTTCCTTGAAGGATCTGTGTGGGCCTGTTAATTGGTGCGACAAATGTTTCTCACAGGAGTGGTAGGGAGAACTAGAACTGGAATAATGTGGTTATGTTATGCATGTGCAAGTTAGGCCATGTGTGTCAACTCCACTTTGGGTTTCCCACTTTTTGGGCACAAGTTACTTGCAAAGGGCAAAAATGTCAATTATCTGTTAATTTCTTCACAATGTAGTCAGAGAGCAAAGCTACAAGCCCAGTAATATGTGGGTAGTAAAAGATCTCCCAGCTATCTTTTCCAGACCTATGTTATTTTGGTAATGTGTTAATTTCAATGTTTTTGAAGTGTTCTTATGTATTGGATATATTTCTAAGATAGACAACAGTACGCCATAGCAACAAAACCAGCTGCTGTTATTTTTAAGAGCAGAGGGAATCTTCCCATGGCATGCACTTATTTTCTGTATTTTGACCTGCGTAAGACACCTAAGTAAGTCTGTCACTTCAAAAATTTTTATGCAATTGTAATCTCAGTAGTGATGCTGGAAAAAGGGAAGGAGTGAAGGGGAAGGTTGTTAGTTGTGTTTTTTTTTAATAAACCTTAATGAAAAGTAAAATATGCTGATAAGCACAAAAGTTAATTGTGTAACAGAATATAAGTACAAGATTAATGTATTAATATTATACAAATTGTTTCTCATCTCAGTGTTGCTATTATTTCTTAATGACCTAGGGAAGTCTTAATAAGCCAGTAACACTTAATTGCAGATTGTTTGTTCTCCTGTAATTATTATTTTGTAGATCTAGATTGACTATACCATGTTGAGAGATATTCTTTAAAATAGATATCTCCAAATCCTGATTTGTAACTAGAAGCCAAGTTTTTATGAGTCATTTGAGCTTTAGAAACTCCCTAGTGAATGCAGGCTACTGACTCATTGAGGGGTGTTTTGATGGATTATACTGCACATTAGAACAGCCATAGTTGTGCAGATCAGTGGTCCACTGAGCTCAGTTTCCCACTTTCTAAAAGCAGTTAGCAGCAGATGCTTGAAAATGTGC